GCTTTAATTCTCCTTTCTACAGCCCCCAAACTCTTCCCTATTGCATACAACTTGGTCAAACACTTTTTGCGTGAGGAAACAAGGCAGAAGATTGCTGTGCTGGGTTGTAAGCTGTCTAACTGTACTGTTTGATTATGATTAACTGCGATGTGTTTCGCATCCTGCATGAATGACACCTCACGAATGGGAATTTCTCTTTTGATCTACTTTCCAGCCAACTGGAAAGAGGTGTTGAGGAACTATGTGGATGCAGATCAGTTACCTGTGGCTTATGGAGGCTCCATGACTGATCCTGATGGAAACCCTCTCTGTAAGACCATGGTGAGATTTACTAGCTAACAGGAGATTCACATACACTACCGTTTTCAAAGAAATCATTACACTCGAAAAAATCCTGGGTTGTTTCAACCCAAATATGGACAAAAACCTAATGTTGGGTTAAAAATTTAAAGTACATTTTAACCCAACATTTGAGTTTGTCCATATTTGACCCAAATTTGGGTTAAAACAACCCAGCATTGTTTAGAGTGTACTTTTATTCAGCATCAGGGATGCATTAAATTGCCCAAAAATAACAGTAAATACAAAATTATATTCAAACAAATGCTAGTCTTTTTCAACATTGATAATCATAAGAATTTTTTCTTTAGCAAATTAGAACGATTTTCTAAAAGGGATCATGTGACACTGAACAATGGAGTGATGATACTGAAATTCAGCTTTGCATCACAGGAATAAATTAAGTTTTAAACTATATTCAAATCACAAATTGTTATTTAAAATTGTAATAATATTTCACAATATTACTGTTTTTACTATATTTTCTTTTTATATTTGAATGGGACTGAGTTGTCTTTACCCATTTGACTCTTCCTCAGTTACATTATGGTGGTGTGGTGCCAAAGTCCTACTATGTACGAGACTCTGTCAAAGTGCAGTATGACCAGTGCGTCACTGTTAGCCGTGGCTCCTCATACCAGATAGATTATGAGGTGCTCTTTCCAAACTGCTTGCTACGGTAAGTACCATTTTTCAGTGCTAATAGTTATGCATAGCTGTTTCGCACAATATACTCTTAGGGCTGATTCACACAAAAGGCGGGCAGCAATGGGGAAAAACCACATGGTCTCGAGGCACGTCTTTTAAAAGTTGAACTTTGTGAACTATTTCGTGTTTACATAGAGAAATACTGGAAAGGTAGCGCAGTGGAATGGAAAAAAATAAAGGCTTTTAATGGCATCTATTCTGTACGGAAGCCCTGAACCGCAACCAAAAAAAAAAAAAAAAATAAGTGCAAAAAAAAAAAATCTGTAAAAAAAATCAAAAAAAAAAATCTAGCATTTCGAGATTAAAGTCGAAATGTTTCGAGATTAAAGTCGAAACATTGTGCATTCATAACAGTGCGCGTCCACTGGCTCAGAGCGCGCGCGTGTGTGTGTGAAGTCAAACTGCCATGGATAAACCCAAAATAGTAGCTTTTTACTTTTATCTGGGCTTTCAACAAAATTCTACACACGTCACACGTGCTAGTGGCAGTGTTTCTGAGGTGTTTTCATGCTCGTCTAGTCAACACTATCTGGGTTGAGAACACAACAGTAACTGTTCGGTCTCCCTCTTCACCGTAAATACGCTCTGGATACATTTTAAGTGCATCATTCTGTATCCAATCATTTGGCCGGATCCTGTGATTTCCTAAGATTTAATAACCACTTATGGTTGAGGAGAGATTCTCTGATATGATTGTAAAGCACTTTGAGTGTAGGCATATATGAAAGCGCTATATAAGTGCCCTATTCATTCATTCATTCATTCATTCAGTCATTCATTCATTCATAAAGCTGGATTTCTCCATCCAGTCTGAAAAGTGTTTTCCGTGTTGGTTTTCCTATAGGCTAAAGTCTATTCCGGCGCATTATATTTTATAACGATAAAGTAAGATAAGTAATTCAGATAAAAGTAAAAAGCTACTATTTTGTGTTTATCCATGGCAGTTCGACTTCACGCGCACGCTCTGAGCCAGTGGACGCGCACTGTTATGAATGCACAATGTTTCGACTTTAATCTCGAAACATTTCGACTTTAATCTCGAAACATTTCGACTTTAATCTCGAAACATTCCGACTTTAATCTCGAAACATTCCGATTTTAATCTCGAAACATTCCGACTTTAATCTCGAAACATTCGACTTTAATCTCGAAACATTCCGACTTTAATCTCGAAACATTCCGACTTTAATCTCGAAACATTCCGACTTTAATCTCGAAACATTCCGACTTTAATCTCGAAACATTCCGACTTTAATCTCGAAACATTCCGACTTTAATCTCGAAACATTTCGACTTTAATCTCGAAACATTTCGACTTTAATCTCGAAACATTTCGACTTTAATCTCGAAATGCTAGATTTTGTTTTTTTTTTTTACAGATTTTTTTTTTTACAGTTTTTTTTTTTTTTTTTCACTGACTTTTTTTTTTTTTAGGTTGCGGTTCAGGGCTTCCGTAATACTGCCCTACAAAGCAAAATGCAGTAACTACACAGAGTGCAGAAAAATGACTTTGCAAATACTGTACAAACGACTACCATTTTTCTTCAAAACGACACACATTTGAGATAAGGTGTTTTGTCGCATAACGAAGGATGCCTTGAATGTCATGAAAATGTTAATAACTAATGTTTGACTAAAAATGCAGTTACATGCACGATGGTGCACTATGTAACTTTTTTGTTCAGAATTATCAAATTTGTCAATACATCATCAATCCCTCTACCAAAACGTGTTTATTCAGCATATATACGTGTTTATATCCGATCCAAGTGTGCTGGTGAGATGTAAATAAGGTGATAAGGTGAGCGCGAACAGTAGGCTACGTGTACATATTGAAGAGAAGAAAACGGTTCGTGTTTGTGTTTCTTCCGGAAACAACGGACCATATGAGATTCTGCACAGTTCAGCGCACTTGGATCGGCGTTCATAGATCGACTGGTAGAGACTTTTTTTCAAAGATGGATGGCTTCTTCCTGTATTCGCGAAGTTGACTGTGTGTATAAAATATCTTCTTATTAAACTGTGTGGACACTGACAAAGTTTTCAATGCTTCGGTTTAAATGTAGGGACCCTTATTATGCTGTCGTGTTAGTGCGGGGCTATTTTGAGCCTTGTTAGTGGTATAAACAAGCGATTTTTATTTGTCATTACTCTATGCCTTATATACTAGCATTATACTAGCGTTATAGGCTAAACTGTTTTTAGAGATAAAACTATTTACTTTCGGCAATCATGAAAACAAATCTCAGATAACGGTTGACTAGGTAACAATGTGTAATTAGACCAAAGGTTCATTTTGCGCCGGAGTTCTCCTTTAATGCAAATGGGTGAAGTGTCCCTTTAAGAACTGTTCACTGAAAGGTTCTATAGGGAAAACTTAAAATGGTTATTCTATGGCATCGCTGTGAAAACCCCCCTTTGGAATTTGTTTTAAGAGTGATAGCATGCAATATACGCCATACTATTCCATTCTGACCATAACCAGTCGTCATCATTGTTTTTTCTCAATCTAGATGGCAGTTTGCAACTGAAGGGTCTGATATCGGTTTTGGAATTTACCTGAAGACAAAAGGGAATGGGACAAATAAAGTGGAAGCCATGCAGGAAATACTGCCTACCGAACGTTACAATGCCCATCTAGTTCCAGAGGATGGATCCTACACCTGTGAAGAACCAGGCATCTGTGTGTTTGTTTTGAATTTTACATTTGACTTCTTGGTGATATTCAGTTGTGCTGCCTGCCACATGTTCAGTATTTATGCTTAAAACAATCCTTTTTCTCTCTATAGATGTGGTTCGATTTGACAACACTTACAGTGTGATCCATTCAAAGAAGGTCAGCTTCACCGTGGATGTGCTTCTTCCTGAGGGACACACAGGAAAACAGGCATAAAGCCTGACTGGAATCAGACATGTATCCAGATTACATCACTACTACAATGTGTGGATGTCATTGACCACATGAAATTAGAAGTACTACATTAGGGTTTTTAAATTCACAGTTTTTAGATCATTTTAGAAGATTAGTGATTGCACACAGACGGTTCCTGAAAAGATGTTGTATGAACTTTCTTTTGTGAATTGTGTATGACAAATGGAAGCAGATATAGACTGATGGGGACTATTTGATCAGTATAGAGAACTTTTTTTCTTAATGTGAAATAATTATATTATGGCCTAATGAGATTATCTCTCAATGACTATTATCTCTCATAAATGTATCTCATGTCAACATAAGGAAGATTGTAATAATAAAATAAAGATTGTAATAATAGCAACCTCTTGTATAATATTGAGTATATTTTAAATCTGCACTAATCTGAGAATAAAACACACGATGTCGACGAGTCTGTTTATTTGTAACACTAGAGGTCGCACTTGCATCACATTCTACACAGGTTCATCGGTTGAGATGACACACGCATCCACAAACAACAAATCCACGTATGCTGGTACAGAACCACCGTGATTAATTGACTTTTTATTACTGTAATACAAAAAATATATATTACTTAAATGATAGTATTCATATATTATTTATTGTTGCTCCTTCAATAGACATTGAGGGAAAATTTGCCTATTTGTCATCTAAATACTGCAAAAAGTATCTTTTTTATTTAAAATGTTTTTGATACGAATTGATTTTGTGCTATATATATATAGTGTATCATATTTTTTATTGGAAACCTGTTACGTTCTAACATTTATATTTAATACTACAATTTATTATATACAAAACATTACCTCATTGAGCCACAAGACGTTTGTTAGTCCAAACGTGATGTATTTTTAATTAAGAAAGCGCGTATATTTGTAGCATTTCATTCAACGATCCACATAAGTTTTCCACTGTATTGAAAGTGGGCGTTGCGCAATTGTGCACTATGCAAATGAGGGGGCGCGGTCCGCGTGTGGGAGCGATGACGTGACGTAAGGTCCAGCCTTGCGGAGAGAGCGCAACAAACATGGCGACAGAGCGGAGCGGGCAGGGGTGTCTTCTAACTTTCATCGTGTTCCTCTGGAGCTCTGTCGGCGGGCGAACGGAGACCTCGAGCCAGAGTTCCCGGAGTCAGATCCTCGGCATGCGGCTGGAGAGGAGCGATAAAGCGGCCAGCACTACGGAGGACGGGTTCATCCAGGTAACGGAGGAGAGCAGCGTCGTGCTCCGGTTTTATGGTGTCCACCTGAGCCCGGGCGCAGCATCCAACATCAGGTTTACGGAGTATGTGGATACAGGGGGTAGTGACGCGTTGAACAGGACTTGTGAGGATTTCACCAAAGACATGAGCATCGGCAACTACATGAACGTGAGCAGCAGGGGTACATCAGGTCTGGTGAGTGTGTATGTGAAGCCAATGCGTAAAAGTGAACGAGAGAAGACCTACAGCCTATGTGTCAGACAGGACTTGGGAGATAAATGGGTCCATTTGCCCGATAATGATGGTAAATTGGTAGTCATAGAGGAGAAAGGATCTCTTCTACCGCTTTGGTTCCAAGTCATCCTGGTGTCAAGCTTGCTTGCGTTGTCCGGCATGTTCAGTGGACTCAACCTGGGGCTCATGGCGTTGGATCCAATGGAGCTTCGCATTGTGCAAAGTTGCGGCACCAACAAGGAGAAGAAGTATGCGCGCAAAATCGAACCCATTCGAAGCAAGGGCAACTATCTGCTTTGCTCTTTATTGTTGGGTAATGTGCTGGTCAACACAACTTTGACCATCCTACTGGACGATTTGATCGGGTCAGGGTTGGGAGCCGTGGCGGCATCCACAGTTGGCATTGTCATATTTGGTGAAATCGTGCCACAAGCGCTCTGCTCGCGCCACGGTTTGGCCGTAGGCGCCAACACCATCGTGCTGACCAAATTCTTCATGATACTGACCTTCCCGTTGTCATTTCCCATCAGCAAGCTTTTGGATGTCATCCTCGGGCAGGAAATCGGCACCGTCTACAACCGAGAGAAGTTGGTGGGGATGCTGAAGGTCACGGAGCCCTACAACGACCTGGTCAAAGAAGAGCTGAACATCATACAAGGTGCTCTGGAACTCAGAACCAAGACGGTGGAGGATGTGATGACGCCGCTGGGCAACTGCTTCATGATTCACATCGACGCCGTGCTCGACTTCAGCACCATGTCTGAAATCATGGAAAGCGGCTACACGCGGATACCCGTGTTCGACAGTGAGCGCTCCAACATCGTGGACATCCTCTACGTCAAGGACCTGGCCTTTGTTGACCCGGATGATTGCACAACGCTTAAAACGGTCACCAAGTTCTACAACCGCCCGGTGCATTTCGTCTTCCACGACACTAAGTTGGATGCCATGTTGGAGGAGTTTAAAAAAGGTTAGTGATTTGTGTTTTATGTGTTCTCCTAAGTCTTGAAAGTTTGCACAGGAAGCAAAGGGTTTATCTCCATGGAGTTGTTTGATTATGATGTGTCCCCCTGAGAGCCAAATCAATAACCATATGCTCCCTGTATCAGCCTCCGATCAATATGAAGCTCTTCTAGAAATGGCGGAGGGATCCCATGCTGCCAAAAGCACCTGTCACTCATTAAAAATGCACATCAACATCCGGTCCACCAGAGTTTGCAGACTCACTCTAATGTTCTGCCACATTTACTTTCAGATTCAGGGCTGTAAACACCATAGATATTTTTACAGACACATATTCCCTTTAATATACAGATTATTCTTTACAATGGTATTGGTTACACTTTACAATGAGGTTTTATTTGTTAACATAGGTAATTAAATAACAATGAACTACAATTTACATTTTTGCAATGATTAATTTAAAGGGATAGTTTACTTTGAAATTGATTTTGGTATGTTTTATCTTACCTCAAGTGCATCCAAGATGTAGGCGTCTTTGTTTCCGCAGTATTTTCAATTTTGATATTTTTAGGTCAAACCGTTCTTGTCTGTCAGTCATGTAATGGAGGTCTATGGTCACCACCTCAAAGAGCATGCACAGAGAAGTCCAAATTAAACATGATTTAATGACTCATAAATGTAAGTACACATTGATGGCCTGCCTAAGACACGAAACTCAGACTGATCTCATGAAATGGCGTATGTATGACACGCCAATTAGTATTTACATTTTTAGCGCGCTATCAACATGCATATTTGCTTTTTAGTGTGTTTATGAACGCCGTTGACTTAACGTTACATTACTGTGTATATATAAATAACCCCGTCCCTAAACCTACCCATCACTGGGGTTAATAGCATTTATGAGTGTTCCCCTACCATCCTAGGAAAAAAATGTCGCTACCCAGATGTAGATCTACATTTTGCTTCGTTTCGCTTGGACATTTAACGGCGTAGACATACACGCATACACGCGGGTAGCTCAAAATGCGTATAGATAACAAGCCACTTGACTTGAAAGTGGCGTGTATGTTTACGCAATAGTCATGATGTCATGTTGCGAAACGAGCGGTTTGTGTGAGAAAACGAACAGTATTTATATCGTTTTTACCTCTTGTAACCATGGACGTGGCTGTGGTTGTAAGACATAAAAACGATATAAATACTGTTCGTTTTCTCACACAAACCGCTCGTTTCGTGTTTTAGGCCATCAATGTGTCCTTACATTTACGAGTCATTAAATCATGTTTAATTTGGACTTCTCTGTGCATGATCTTTGAGGTGGTGGTGACCATAGCCCCTATGGTGACCCCTCCCATCCCAATCACTGCAGCACTGCAGAGGTGCCACAGAGGGACAAAAACCCATGTGACATGCACTGTTTTGTCCAAAGCGTCTGCTTAGGATGTTGCTTAAGTTTTGCTACATTTGATGAGAATTTTGTGGAAATTCTCTGAACCCTGTTCAAATGTGTTTTTACTGTTTGTGTGTTTGTTTGTTTAAAATGAGCTCCACTGTGCTATGAATATATGCAAATAAGCGTATGAGTATGCAAATGAGTAAATGTGTGTGATTTGCTAAATGCCAATCCCTCAGGAGCATTTGAGTATGTTTCAGAGTGAGCGAATATTAGATCTCTTAAACATTACTGCTTATCTAAAGCTTTCCGTATTATAATATTAGGCTTGATCATGTACTTAAAAATTCTTCTGAGGAAAACAGATTTCAGAAAAAAATCTGCATATTTTCTTTCATTTAGGATAACTTTTTACTCATGTATGATCGCTCTTAGGGTTAGTCACATAGACATAATATATACATATATTATATATATATACATATACATATATATATGTATATATATATATATATATATATTATATACATATATATATGTATATATTATGTCTATGGTTAGTCATAGAGCATCACAGTTCCGCCCACAGCGGGATATAAGCCATAAAAAACGTAACCATACATGGTAGACTTAAAACCAGCTACGGCTGTTAAGCGATTGTATATGATCATATAAACGGCAAAAGTTCATGGGGCACTAACCTTGTTTTAAGATGAATGCCTTTTATTCGCGATGTATTGGATAAGTACTTAATTACCCACAATCCTGAACAATCCAACAGTGATGCATCTGATTGGTGGAAGTCGTATCACGTGTCTGAAACCCCGCGAAGGTACGTGAAGACTGAAAATCGCGTAATGACGTAGGGCTAAGTTCATTGGTCGCACTTCTGAGACGCCCGCCCGTTGCCACAGCTTAGCTAATGAGCGAGCCAGATACTCAATGTTTTTGCACGTTGAGCTGCAAAAGCGTTTACTTCAGTAAATCGGGGAAAAGGAGTTTCCCTGCACATTCACTATATAAAAATCACTGGAGAAAAAGTTCACGTGCCCGTCGTCAGATTTGGAAGTCGCTCAAAAGGCTCTTTCACGGTGGCTTTCAGACGACTTCAGTGAGGCGCGGTGGTTTATGGGAAGAGTAGTTCCTTTGCTCGGAAATGAAAATATGTACACAGGCTTGTACCCTCGACTTTTTTTGGATGTTCTCTTCGTTTTTTCACTTGAAATGATGTATTGTATGCTTATGAGTTCAGCCGTAGCTGGTTATCCTCAGACATCCTCTAATACTCTTTAGATACGGTGTTCTGCCAATTTTTGCTGCCTTGTCGAAAAATGCTACGTAGCGCGAATTGATCACAGAATTCCGATTAAAGTCATACGAAATACAATTATAACACAATTCTAAGTTATGAGTAGCTTCTGTATACTGCAGAGTACTGTTTTTATTTTTAAAACGGTGTGAAAAGTAAAAATTATCATAAAATATTCATCTTTGACTTGTCAAAGTACACCTTTCCTCATAGTAACTGAAACATTCAGTTATTCCTTTTCAGCTGGCTGACCGTACAAATAGTCATATGATAGTAATCATTTTTTAATGGGAAATTATACATTATAACAGGAAAATGTACCTTTTGTAAAAAAAAAAAAAAACTGAGTCTGCACATGCGCATAACCGGTAAGTAGCAAATCTTGGCTGACATTGAAAATTAATAATGTTTTGATGCCTGACTTGTATTTTAATTGCAGCTCAAATTTAGTTTTGGAAAAAAACAGCCATTAATTGGTTGTCAGTATTGGGCAGAATTTCTATATTGTATTTTGGTTCAGATTTAAGCATTCAGTAAGTATGACACAGATTTCATGTTTTAACAGTAATGTTGATTTTGCTGTGTTTTGCATATTTCCCTCTTAAATTTTAATGCTGTCAAAGTGTCTTCTGGTCCTGTCGCTTTCTCTTTCTAATCCCCAGACATCTCCGTCATCATTTCCCCCTCTTAAGCTCTTTTAGCTCTAAGTTTAGTGGTAATTCTGATCTGACTTTCTTTTGGAACATGAAGCGCAAATGGTCCACTATTGCTTAAATGGTTATGATTGAGCCGTCCCCTCAGATAAAATGTGATGAATAATTCATAGGGTTTTCAGATTCTAGTGAAAATACGGCTTATTAATATGCATATTTATATGAATATGGTTTGAATTATTCTACTTTCACTCAGTGGGTTTCCTGGCCTGGGGTGAACTAAATCTATGTTAAAGAGATAGTTCACCCAAAAATGATTTGCTCACCTTCAAGTTGTTCCAAACCTCTATGAATGAAAAAAAAAATAAAAAAAAAATAATGCTTGTAACCAGACAGTTGACGGTAGCCATTTGACTTCCATATTAGGGAAAAAATTCAATGGAAGTCAATGGCTACCACTGTTTGTTTTGGAACAACTTGAGGGTGAGTGAATGATAACAGTTTTTAGTTTTAAAGGGTTAGTTCACCCAAAAATGAAAATTAAGTCATTAATTACTCACCCCCATGCTGTACCAACACCGTAAGACCTTCGTTCGTCTTCGGAATACAAATGAAGATATTTTTGATTAAATTTGAGAGCTGTATAACTACCACATTGGCTCCTAAAGGACTGCCTCTTGACGGCCCAGAAAGTCAATGAAGAAAATGTTTAAATATCCCAAGTGACTACCGTGGCTCAACTATATGTTTATCAAGCGACGCGAATACTTTTTGTGCGAAAAAACAAACAAAAATAAAGAGTTCATTCGACTATTTCTTTTCTTCCTTGTAGGCCAGAACGAGACTTCCTTAGATTTCCACGACGCATGCGCGAGATTTGCGATCTGCTCACACCAGCTTACACTACTTCAGATCGCAATTCTCCCGCATGCGTCGTGGAAATCTAAGGAAGTCTCGTTCTGGCCTACAAGGAAGAAAAGAAATAGTCGAATGAACTCTTTATTTTTGTTTGTTTTTTCGCACAAAAAGTATTCGCGTCGCTTGATAAACATATAGTTGAGCCACTGTAGTCACATGGGATATTTAAACATTTTCTTCATTGACTTTCTGGGCCGTCAAGAGGCAGTCCTTTAGGAGCCAATGTGGTAGTTATACAGCTCTCAAATTTAATCAAAAATATCTTCATTTGTTTTCCGAAGACGAACGAAGGTCTTACGGGGTTGGTACAGCATGGGGGTGAGTAATTAATGACTTAATTTTCATTTTTGGGTGAACTAACCCTTTAAAACTAAAAACTGTTATCATTCACTCACCCTCAAGTTGTTCCAAAACAAACAGTGGTAGCCATTGACTTCCATTGAATTTTTTCCCTAATATGGAAGTCAAATGGCTACCGTCAACTGTCTGGTTACAAGCATTATTTTTTTTTTATTTTTTTTTTCATTCATAGAGGTTTGGAACAACTTGAAGGTGAGCAAATCATTTTTGGGTGAACTATCTCTTTAACATAGATTTAGTTCACCCCAGGCCAGGAAACCCACTGAGTGAAAGTAGAATAATTCAAACCATATTCATATAAATATGCATATTAATAAGCCGTATTTTCACTAGAATCTGAAAACCCTATGAATTATTCATCACATTTTATC